GGGCGGGATAACTGTCTTATATAAGAGAGGTCCACAAAGTTTTTCTGTAAAGAGCCAGATATTTTTGTTTTCAGGCCACATGCAGTCTCTGAACAAACATTCTCTGAACAAATATTCTTCTTTGTTTTGCTTTGGTTTGGAGGCTTTGTTTGTTTCTTTTTACCACCTTTTAAAAGGGTAAACGCCATTCTTAGCTCCAGGGCTTTACAGAAACAGGCCGCAGAGGCCAGATTTGGACAGCAAGCTGTGGACTGGCCACTCATGACTGGGAACAGCTGTGAAAGTGGACAGGAACTTTGTGTCTGGGGCCTCTTGGAGCACCAACCTGCAGGGACTCACCTTTCTCAGCTTCTTCCTCCTGGGGATGAGCAATATGTTGCCCTCACGTGCTCTTATTTCCCTAGACCAGTGGTTGGCAAACTCATTAGTCAACGGAGCCAAATATCAACAGTACTTTTTCAAAATAGACTCGCCTAGGCCGGAAACCGACTTCTGCGCATGGGCCACGAAGTTTCAATCACACTGTACATGCACACCCACACGTGGTATTTTGTGGAAGAGCCACACTCAAGGGGCCAAAGAGCCACTTGTGGCTTGTGAGCCAAAGTTTGCCGCCCACTGAGACTACTGATAAAGCAATCACTGGAAAATGGACAGTTAGAGGTAGTGAGCAGATAGTGTGATATATCCATATGATCACTAGAAGACTGCTTGTTCAAAGTAAATGTTGAGGCCTAAGGAATTTGGAGAAGTTGATGTCATCCATGTGTGTCATCCGTTGGGGGGTAGGAGGCTGAGGTGCCAAATTACTTTATTGGAAGAAATGGTGCAAATGAAAGGACATAAGTGGGTGATTTGGTACAAGTTACCTAAAAGGTAAAGGTAACTCCAACAGGCACCTTCTGCTGACCAGGATGGTCACCCCGTGGCTCTGGGTAGCAGCGTAAGGCTTAGCTCTCATCACTGTCTCCCAGGCTGTGCTGTCAAAGAGATTCTGGGGACCCATCTCTTGCACAAGTTGGTTATGAGGCCACCCAATTCTTTGATGGATTTCACCTGCTCACTCAGATCATGAGTCTCAATGAAGTCACACAAATGGGGCTCATTTCTGCCACTGGCCAGTTTGTGCAAGTCCAGTAGTGACTGATCCACACTTTTCTCCCAAGTGTAATGCACAGTCCAGTGCGCTCAGCCCCTTCTCCCAGTCGTCAGGTTTGGTTTCTTGACATCCTGAAGGAAGATTCGGCCACCTGGTTGGTTCTGCAGCTTCATTGGTTTCTCAGCATGCTCCCTCTCTTCATAGCTTGGTGAAGAAAAGATTTAGCAAAGTTCTTCAAAGCCAGATCACGGCTGTCAAAGTAGTAAAACGTAGGAAGCCTGGAGCTCCAGGTTGATGTGGCGGTTAATAGCAGCCTGGGAGTCCTGGTGGTAGTTCAGGCTGCACAGAACTGGAGTGCGGGGGTGGAGGGTGGAGGGTGGGGGGCCTTGGGGCATCCAAGGGCATGTAAGGAGGGGGCGGGTGGCTGGATTTGAGCAGCTGGCTGGGATGAGGGACGAGCACCAGGTTCAGTGTTGAAGCAGGAAACCTTGCCAACTCTCCGTGGAGACTAATGTTACCCATTAACTAATGTTTCACTTAACTTTTTCTGTATTTTTGTTTTAATTTTTAAGCTTAAAGAAACCTTGGATCCAGCTCTAGAACCCATTCTTTTGAAACAGATCTTCATGAGTGGTGGACGACTGCTCATTCACCTTGGAGACTCAGATATTGACTATGACAAAAACTTTAGGTTTTATATGACAACCAAATTGCCAAATCCCCACTACCTGCCTGAGGTATGAGCTGTGGGTCTGGAATTCCTAGCCTGAATGGATTACTAAGGTGTGACAGGTCTCTGACATGTGGTGGATCCCCACCTGAAGGGACTGAGTCTTCCCCAGCTCCCTGTCCCCTCTCCAAGCCCCGCTTCCTTCCATCACCCTCCACTCTTGCTTCTCTTCTGAGTCCTGATTCTGAGTCCAGTCACCCTTCTACTGGCCTTGTAGGTGGGACTCCAATCCTCCCCACTTGGTCCCCAGGCCACTGCGCATCTCTTCAGCCCTCTCACCATCTCCCTCATGGTCCATAGCTGCTCCTCACATCACAGGGCACCACCCCCTGTAATCATTCCTCTCCCTCCTTCGGCACAAGGCCATCTATGCCCTCTTATTGTGGCTGATACATGACTCAGAGTTTAGTTGAGAGTTTATGGAAGGGGCGCTGTCCATAGTTAAGTGTGCAGACACCCACGGCATATAGCCCCAAACAAGGAAAACTCTGCTGACCAGCAACATCAGAGAATCATGATTCCAATGTCTGTACTTGGGGTCCTGGGCGAGGAGTCATCTTGTCCCCTTCCTCATGCTCTTAGACTAGTTGAGGGAGCTGTGTGAACCCCTCTTCCATCACATGTCCCCGCGCCACAGTAGGATCCAGAACCTCTACTCTTGTGCTGCAGGGCCCACAGCAGTCGCCACAGCAATAAAGACAGCGGGGACTCCTCTCTTCCTTCCTAGAAGGGGCTCTGAGGAGCTCTTCACGCCCTGACCCTACCCCTTCCACCACTGCCCAACTCTGCTGCCAGAGCTCCCGGCACAGCTGCACGCTCAGCAGGGCCTTCCATCCCAGCAGGTCTCCGCTTCTCTAATGGGGCTGGGACAGTTAAGGAAGGGACTTTACTACTCAACACACACACACACACACACACACTAAGATAAGGGAAATGCCATTAAAAACCTAGGTCAAGGTTTTCTGTGTCAACCCCTGCCAGAGTGCATGACTGAAGTGCCATTTTAGAATTTAGAAAAGTGATCAACTGACAACCTTCAATTTCTTACTTATTTAACTTTTGAGAGGGAGCATTGCATACCCAAACCCAGCTCGGTGACTGTGGGGGAATTAGTCTGTTTCTTGGGTGTTCAAGTCCATCCACTATAAGGTAGAGACAATGCCTACCTCAAGAATTTGTTATGCAGATTAAATAAGAATAACATGTAAAATACATTACATGCAAACACCTACTCTCATTACATTTATTGCTATAATATTCTGATGACATTATTTAAATAAGTTAACACTTGTTGACTTATTTAAATAATGTCAGAATATTATAACAATTTTTATTAAAATGTTATGAGAAAATATGTAAAGCTCGATTTATTATCAATAGTATCTTCTCTTTAACTAGGACAAACTATGTGCAAGTTACTGTAACTAAGGGATTTTACTACCTCAATTGGTCCCCACATATACCTCATGAGTTGGTATCATCCCAATTTTCAAATATCAGGAACTGAAAGCTCAGTGTGAGTGAATGGCTCACACATGTACTAAAGGGTGCACGTGGAATCTGACCCCGAGCAATTGATTCTGTAACCCTGCTTCTTTTTAACCCTTTGCTGGTTCACCTATAACTGTGGCATGTGAGGAACTAGACTGTCACTCATACTGGCAGGGAGAATCATAAGAAGATTTTATAAGACAGGATGTTTGGTGTGTGTGCAGGTGGACGCGTATGTTCAGTGGGTAATGGAGAGCCATGTTCTAATGAAGAGTGCACTTCTCGTTTGCTCAGTATGAACTTAAGCATTTGAATGGACTCCATGCTCCTTTTCTAGGTGTGCATTAAAGTTACCATCATCAATTTCACTGTGACCAAATCAGGTCTGGAGGACCAGTTGTTAAGGTAATAAAAGGGGGAGGGGGAGTTCCTAATATTTTGTTTAGAAATTTTCACAAAAGAAAATTTTAATGTATTAAAAGAAAACATCACTCATAAACCCTCAACCACAAAGATAACAGTAAATGGCCAAGTTCTTTTCCTCTCTTCATTCTTGGCCATGGTTTGGGCCAGGCCTGCAACCCCGCCTTGCTCTTCCCCTTCACTGGGACTCCGATCTTGGGCAAGTAAATGAAGTCAGTCGTCCGATGGTTTCTAGAGACTCATTACTCCACACTGAAAAGGCACTACTGCTCTCAAATATATTTCTCCTGTCTCTCTTAACTCTAGTTATTTTCTTAGTGCATTTATTTTTATCTACAATTGTCTACCTAAAAAAAATATGCCTTCCCTTGGTATACTTTGTATGTGATTAAATCTCCATTCCCCAAAAATGAGATTATGGATTATTTATATTAACCATCGGAATTAGCCAAGAAGTTTAGAAGGCAAAATATTTTAAATACTTATTAAAATAACAACATTGATGTTAGTTAAAAACTATGTGTGTATATTGATTAACTTTAAAGGAAAATATAATTTAGACCCATATTCAAAATAAATATAATCCTTTATATTCGAGTCAAGATTATCCTGATATTCTCCCGTTATCAAAAATGAATTTAAGTCTCATTTTCCTTGTTTACTTTAGGAATCTATTCTGCCAGCTACTAACTTGCTTGAATTCTGCTAGGCTCACCCCTTTCCAGACAAAGGATCTGCCAGCTACTAACTTGCTTGAATTCTGCTAGATACCCTTTCCAGACAAAGGGTATCTCACCACAGTTCATGGCCATGTTCTAAGGACGTGGCTGAATATTTTGCACACCAGCTCAGTCCCATGAGGAGCTGAGCTCAGCTGTGTCGCTCAGCTGTCGCATGTGAGACTGCCTGGGCTGAGAGGCAGAAGTGCCCACAAGAGCAGGGGAATGTTGAGGCTCAGTCCTGGGGTGTTGAATCCCCGGGCTGCACTTTATACTCTTCTGAAAAAATTCTATAAACAAGTGGATTTGCAGTGATGATATCTTATGGTCTTCGTGTAATAATTTTTTAAGTTTCTGAATTCAGCATGTGCATAACAAATAAACAAGGAGCAACTTACTTTTGTGCTCTGACAAAGCCATAACATAGTATTCAAACTTTGGTTCTAGTGACGTGGTGCGACTTGAGAAACCCGAGTTGGAAGAACAAAGAATCAAGCTCATTGTGAGGATCAACACTGATAAAAACCAGCTAAAAACGATTGAAGATAAAATCTTGAAAATGCTCTTTACGTCTGAAGGTAATATTCTGGACAATGAGGAACTTATTGAGACACTCCAGGATTCAAAGGCAAGTAAGATCTTTTTAGTATTTATAAAAAGTGTGTGGCTCCAGAAGTTATAGCTACAGCCTTTGAGAGTTCCTGCAAAGCCTTGCACAGCAACAATGCCATGCACATCTGGGCTTCCAGGGCTCACTTACGAGTATACTTGTCTGGCACCAACCAAAGGAAGAGAGGATCAATTATAGTCAATGGCTCCTTTTGTCCGCATTTTTTTAAAATAAAACATGTAATGTAAAGAACTGGAACAAAATATAAGTTGAAAGGAATAACACAGTTATATATTCGCATTAATGTCGCCCCTCTGGGAAGTCTTCCAGTACTCCCAGCTGGAATTAGTCTCTCCCTCCCTAGAACACCTATTGCCTCTTATCTGCCCCTCTATTACAGTACTTGTCCCTGTTTACCTTATGCCACAGGTATCTATCATATGTCTTATCTCTTTTGTTGGTGGTTCATTTCTATGTAATAAGAATCTGAACAGTTCATCTTGATATTCTTTCTCCAAGGGCTAAGCGTAGTGCCTTGGAGGTGTATGGCGCTCAGTAAACATGTATTAATAGTACGAGGAAGTTTTACATTACATGTATATCTTGCACTGAATTATTTCTCAGATTCAAATCATAATTTTAAAAGCTTTTTTTTATTACAAAGGGTATTACATATGTGTCCATTTTTCCCCCTGCCCTAGACAGTCCCCTAGCCTCCCCTATCCCCCAGTGTCTTATGTCCATTGGTTATGCTTATATGCATGCATACAAGTCCTTTGGTTGATCTCTTACTCC